GGAGGGCGAGGGACATATTAAAACTTGTACCTGCATTGAGACATCGGACGGAGGAGGACATATTAAAACTTGTACCTGCATTGAGTCATCGGAGGGAGAGGGGCATATTAAAACTTGTACCTGCATTGAGACATCGGAGGGAGAGGGGCATATTAAAACTTGTACCTGCATTGAGACATCGGAGGGAGGGGGACTCATAAAAACTTGTACCTGCATTGAGACATCGGAGGGAGAGGGGCATATTAAAACTTGTACCTGCATTGAGACATCGGAGGGAGAGGGGCATATTAAAACTTGTACCTGCATTTAGACATCGGACGGAGAGGGACATATTAAAACTTGTACCTGCATTGAGACATCGGACGGAGAGGGACATATTAAAACTTGTACCTGCATTGAGACATCGGAGGGAGAGGGGCATATTAAAACTTGTACCTGCATTGAGACATCGGACGGAGGGGGACTCATAAAACTTGTACCTGCATTGAGACATCGGAGGGAGAGGGACTCATAAAACTTGTACCTGCATTGAGTCATCGGAGGGAGAGGGGCATATTAAAACTTGTACCTGCATTGAGACATCGGAGGGAGAGGGGCATATTAAAACTTGTACCTGCATTAAGACATCGGAGGGAGAGGGGCATATTAAAACTTGTACCTGCATTGAGACATCGGAGGGAGGGGGACTCATAAAAACTTGTACCTGCATTGAGACATCGGAGGGAGAGGGACATATTAAAACTTGTACCTGCATTGAGACATCAGAGGGAGGGGCATATTAAAACTTGTACCTGCATTGAGACATCGGAGGGAGAGGGACATATTAAAACTTGTACCTGCATTGAGTCATCGGAGGGAGAGGGGCATATTAAAACTTGTACCTGCATTAAGACATCGGAGGGAGAGGGACATATTAAAACTTGTACCTGCATTGAGACATCAGAGGGAGGGGCATATTAAAACTTGTACCTGCATTGAGACATCGGAGGGAGGGGGACATATTAAAACTTGTACCTGCATTGAGACATCGGAGGGAGAGGGGCATATTAAAACTTGTACCTGCATTGAGTCATCGGAGGGAGGGGGACATATTAAAACTTGTACCTGCATTAAGACATCGGAGGGAGGGGGGCATATTAAAACTTGTACCTGCATTGAGACATCGGAGGAAGAGCGGCAAATTAAAACTTGTACCTGCATTGAGACATCGGAGGGAGAGGGGCATATTAAAACTTGTACCTGCATTGAGACATCGGAGGGCGAGGGACATATTAAAACTTGTACCTGCATTGAGTCATCGGAGGGAGGGGGGCATATTAAAACTTGTACCTGCATTGAGACATCGGAGGGAGAGGGGCATATTAAAACTTGTACCTGTATTGAGACATCGGAGGGAGGGGGACTCATGAAAACTTGTACCTGCATTGAGACATCGGAGGGAGGGGGACTCATAAAAACTTGTACCTGCATTGAGACATCGGAGGGAGGGGGGCATATTAAAACTTGTACCTGCATTGAGACATCGGAGGGAGGGGGACTCATAAAAACTTGTACCTGCATTGAGTCATCGGAGGGAGAGGGGCATATTAAAACTTGTTCCTGCATTGAGACATCGGAGGGAGGGGGACTCATAAAAACTTGTACCTGCATTGAGACATCGGAGGGAGAGGGGCATATTAAAACTTGTACCTGCATTGAGACATCGGAGGGAGGGGGACATATTAAAACTTGTACCTGTATTGAGACATCGAAGGGAGGGTGGCATATTAAAACTTGTACCTGCATTGAGACATCGGAGGGAGAGGGGCATATTAAAACTTGTACCTGCATTGAGACATCGGAGGGAGAGGGGCATATTAAAACTTGTACCTGCATTAAGACATCGGAGGGAGGGGGGCATATTAAAACTTGTACCTGCATTGAGACATCGGGGGGAGGGGCATATTAAAACTTGTACCTGCATTAAGACATCGGAGGGAGGGGGACATATTAAAACTTGTACCTGCATTGAGACATCGGAGGGCGAGGGAAATATTAAAACTTGTACCTGCATTGAGACATCGGAGGGAGGGGGACATATTAAAACTTGTACCTGCATTGAGACATCGGAGGGCGAGGGACATATTAAAACTTGTACCTGCATTGAGACATCGGAGGGAGGGGGACATATTAAAACTTGTACCTGCATTGAGACATCAGAGGGAGAGGGGCATTTTAAAACTTGTACCTGCATTGACACATCGGAGGGAGAGGGGCATATTAAAACTTGTACCTGCATTGAGACATCGGAGGGAGAGGGGCATATTAAAACTTGTACCTGCATTGAGTCATCGGAGGGAGGGGGACATATTAAAACTTGTACCTGCATTAAGACATCGGAGGGAGGGGGACATATTAAAACTTGTACCTGCATTGAGACATCGGAGGGAGAGGGGCATATTAAAACTTGTACCTGCATTGAGTCATCGGAGGGAGGGGGACATATTAAAACTTGTACCTGCATTAAGACATCGGAGGGAGGGGGACATATTAAAACTTGTACCTACATTAAGACATCGGAGGGAGGGGGACATATTTAAACTTGTACCTGCATTAAGACATTGGAGGGAGAGGGGCATATTAAAACTTGTACCTGCATTGAGTCATCGGAGGGAGGGGGACATATTAAAACTTGTACCTGCATTGAGACATCGGAGGTAGAGCGGCATATTAAAACTTGTACCTGCATTGAGACATCGGAGGGAGAGGGGCATATTAAAACTTGTACCTGCATTAAGACATTGGAGGGAGAGGGGCATATTAAAACTTGTACCTGCATTAAGACATCGGAGGGAGAGGGGCATATTAAAACTTGTACCTGCATTGAGACATCGGAGGTAGAGCGGCATATTAAAACTTGTACCTGCATTGAGACATCGGAGGGAGAGGGGCATATTAAAACTTGTACCTGCATTGAGACATCGGAGGGCGAGGGACATATTAAAACTTGTACCTGCATTAAGACATCGGAGGGAGGGGGGCATATTAAAACTTGTACCTGCATTGAGACATCGGAGGGAGGGGGACTCATAAAAACTTGTACCTGCATTGAGACATCGGAGGGAGGGGGGCATATTAAAACTTGTACCTGCATTGAGACATCGGAGGGAGGGGGACTCATAAAAACTTGTACCTGCATTGAGACATCGGAGGGAGGGGGACATATTAAAACTTGTACCTGCATTAAGACATCGGAGGGAGGGGGGCATATTAAAACGTGTACCTGCATTGAGACATCGGAGGGAGAGGGACATATTAAAACTTGTACCTGCATTGAGACATCGGAGGGAGAGGGGCATATTAAAACTTGTACCAGCATTGAGACATCGGAGGGAGGGGGACATATTAAAACTTGTACCTGCATTGAGACATCGGAGGGAGGGGGACATATTAAAACTTGTACCTGCATTGAGACATCAGAAGGAGAGGGGCATATTAAAACTTGTACCTGCATTGAGACATCGGAGGGAGAGGGGCATATTAAAACTTGTACCTGCATTGAGACATCGGAGGGAGAGGGGCATATTAAAACTTGTACCTGCATTGAGACATCGGAGGGCGAGGGACATATTAAAACTTGTACCTGCATTGAGACATCGGAGGGCGAGGGAGATATTAAAACTTGTACCTGCATTGAGACATCGGAGGGAGGGGGACATATTAAAACTTGTACCTGCATTGAGACATCGGAGGGCGAGGGACATATTAAAACTTGTACCTGCATTGAGACATCAGAGGGAGAGGGGCATTTTAAAACTCGTACCTGCATTGACACATCGGAGGGAGGGGGGCATATTAAAACTTGTACCTGCATTGAGACATCGGAGGGAGAGGGGCATATTAAAACTTGTACCTGCATTGACACATCGGAGGGAGAGGGGCATATTAAAACTTGTACCTGCATTAAGACATCGGAGGGAGGGGGACATATTAAAACTTGTACCTGCATTAAGATATGGGAGGGAGAAGGGCATATTAAAACATGTTCGAATCCTGCTCATTTGATTAATGATAATAGAAATAAATATTTATGAGAAATGGAATGTTTTATTAATGCAGTGGCCACCAAGTTCCCAGTTTGCAATTTCCATTTCGTTGAGTTATTCATCATGTTACAAAATATTGATTGCAACGAAAATTTATGTCCAAAACGGAAAAGAAAAAAATCTTTCATCAGAGAGTATTATAAAATTCTCTTTGTGTTTGAATCGATAGAGCAAAGACGCTCAAACTGCATTGATTTGCTTGGGAGGAGATTACGTAACCAAGCAACGACACAATGCTATAAAAAGTGAAATAGACTATAGTAAGCGATCCAGCTGTTTTAAAATTTGCATTCAGACAGTTGAAAAAAAACTCATACATTTTTAGAATCACAGTGACATTTCTCATAGGCTCTAGCTTTTATCGGACTGGCTTGCACATTGCTGCAAATTATGAAAAAAACTGCTGACCCACTTTTTCCAATCTTCAAGTCCTATCAACATTATAACTTGTTTTTTCCAACAATATTCAGCCTTTGCTGGCGAACAAGCATATTCAATTCTTCCTGTAGCTGATTTAATTTTTGACAGCAGTGCGCGATACCTAAAGAAAATAAACAATCTTTATTTGTGTTTAATTAGAGTGGAATACAGCACATATTGAATCAAGTCGAGCTAAATTGGTTTCCAGCTGAAATAGAAAAAAAATCACTAGCATATTCAAAGGAAGTCTCTTTTTTTAATCATGAAGGGTTTATGATTGAAAGGAATAAGGCATTTTTTCTCAGTCGCCTGAATTCCTTTTTTATTTCAGACGCAAATAGGACTCCAGTTACATGCATTCAATTTGAGCTAGCTAGGCTCGATTTCAGACTGGGAAATTTTGCTCAGCAAACCAACAGTTATGTGGCAGGATTTGGATCCGTATTTCCACAACTTTAAACTGTTCTTAACTTACTGGTTAATGTCCTCCAACAGGGAAGAAATGTCCGATTCCGTTCCGGGACCAGGCAACCAGGAACAGTCTCAACAGTCCCAAGATAACTCCTCCGAGCCTTCCACTACAACTAACCGGGAAAAAACATTCATCTGTCCGACATGCCTGAAAGGATTCCGGAGCAAGCAGCAATTGAACCAGCATAGCTTGGTCCACTCGGGAATCCGAAAGTATGAGTGCAGCTATTGCGACAAAGCCTTCAAGCAACTGTCTCATCTCCAGCAGCATCAGAGGATTCATACAGGTTGGTTCCTATCCCTTGTTTGGTTGTTGTAGCACTTTTTTCTAACTATTCCGTCCCGTGTCTCGATACGGGCATCATTTAGCATACCATAAATATCTGCACTTGATATTGATGTTGTTGTGTTTGTGCATGCAAGACTTTGATTGTTTTGTAATTTGATAATTTGTTGTCTCCCTTAAGCTGCTGTCAGTCTGTTGAGAAAGAAAACTTTCATGAATTCTTCCTATTCTAGAGATAATGGAGGATGTATGTTTATGTATACATGATGATGAAAGGAATACCTGTTTATTTATTTGTTTGTTGATTTTCTGTTTTTTCTAATGTATGTATTATTTTAGTGTAAGTTATCGTTTCCCATTACTTTGACATTTTACTTCAACTATTTGCATGTCCACAATTTATGGAATATTTCTGAGGACTTCTCCCGATTTACAGAGATGATTGATTGTCTGAGTCTCCAGGTTTTATTTTAATATTGATGTTTAGTAGAAATTATTGCACTTTAAGTACCTGTACAGAAATTTAAGTTATGAAAACAGCAGGTGCCTATTCTTTTTTTAAAGAGAATGACATTTGCTAATGCTTTCTGAAAGAAAATCAGTATTGATTTTAATATTTTATCAGAAATAAATTGTTTTGAAAATGGCTAATGTCATTTCATAACAGATTACAATCAATAAATTAAATGAATATGCTCCTTGTGCGACTACTTGCAGTGTAATTTCTGTCTTGTGCGGCAGTTTAATTCTCTTTATTTTTTAATTTTAAAAGTTTGAGTTTTGATAGATTTTGCTTGATATTTAAATAATAAGTCAAAGTCATCCTCACCTGTCTGAATGTTATTCCGAGGCTACTAACTTTCTGGATGTTTTGCTGCCAAACACCTCATCCAGTTTTAACCCTCTGGATCATCGGCATCAGCCCCATCACCACCACTGTCGCCGCCACCACTACCAACAACAACAACACTACAATTCCCATCATCACCACCATCGTCACTACCACCACCCCCAACAACACCATAAACACCACCAACAACAACAATACCATCACCCCAACAACATCACCACCACCACCACCACCACCACCACCACCACCATCACCACCACCACCACCACCACCACCAACACCAACACCACCACCACCACCACCACCACCACCACCACCACCACCACCACCTTTGTCCATCACCATCCCCATCATCTTCAACACCACCATTGTCCATCACTATCGCCGTCATCCCCATCATCATCAACACCACCATCCCAAATATAACCACCACCACAACCCCAACATCGTCAACACCACCATCCCAAACATAACCACAACCCCATCATCGTCAACAGCACCATCCCAAACATAACCACCACCATCACCACCACCACCACCACCACCACCACCATCACCATCACCATCACCATCACCATCACCAACACCACCATTGTCCATCACTATCGCCGTCATCCCCATCATCGTCAACACCACCATCCCAAACATAACCACCACCACAACCCCATCATCATCAACATCATCATCACCATCATCCCCATCATCGTCAACACCACCATCCCAAACATAACCACCACCACAACCCCATCATCATCAACACTACCATCATCATCATCCCCATCATCGTCAACACCACCACCCCAAACATAACCACAACCCCATCACCGTCAACACCACCATCCCAAACATAACCACCACCACAGCCCCATCATCATCAACACCACCATCACCATCATCCCCATCACCGTCAACACCACCATCCCAAACATCACCAGCATTGTCACATACTTGCAGTCAGCCCTAATCAGATTGTCCCTATGACATGGAGGCATGTTAGTCATGACACAGAAGTAATCCCCTCACATGTGAGATAGGTAATGAACACAATCTTCACTGAGAGTTCAAACTCATCAATCAAATATCAACCTCATAAATGACAGCGGGAGGGAGGGGGGAGGGGAGAGGGTTGCATCGCAGTGTAAAATGATGTGATGCATCATGCAGAGGTCCTTGTAAAGATTCAACAGAAGTCAAGAATTATGATTTGATATGTTCCAGTAGGATACTGTTTTATTCAGCCTAGTAACAAGCATGTGGTTAGCAAGAGTTGAAAATAAATCTTTTCCATGTGGTGCAGATTAGCACAGTGTAAGGTTTCCTAACATTCAAGCAAATTCCCACCCTGAACCTGAATCAAACAATCTTAAGGAGTTTGATAAAGCAGATTTTTGTTGTATAAGATAATGAATTTTCTATACATAGTTGTGTGTTATTTACTGATCAACTTACGATCTTGGAATGTGGCTAGCGATGTATGGTATTTATATTTAAGGGATGTTTAAATGATTCAGTTGAAATGGTTAAAAAATATGTATAATAATATCTATTTCCGGAATGGTTATTGACTAACATTGATGGAGGACTTTGCGGTATTCAGGGGGGCTCCAGTTATCTGAGGAGTTGCAGTTGCCAAGAAACCAGTGATCATGGGTTCGAATCCCGGTTTGCCCCAACGATGTTTCTAGGTTTGTCAGCACCATAACTGTTCCCGTGGGTTTCACCAAAGTAGTAAACGTTTAAAACCTTCATCACTTTGCACTGTCCTCCCACCTCAACCGACATGCCGTGAAATAAGTGAAGTACAGTTCAAAGCGGCATTAAACTTGCCCACTCACTCATATAATTCCTTATCTCTCACCACAATCTCCATGCATCCAGTCAAGACATGTTTGGTAACAGGACATTTATCCGGACATTTCATCAGAATGTAGCTGCTGTGTTAAACATGTATGTAGTCATGGAATATTTATATTGCATGAATATGTCATGTATATATTCAATACCTTCACCAGATCACACAATTTTTTCAAATTTATCATGTTTGCTGGATGAGGGTTGTTTCGATAAGGAAAAGAAGACATGATAGGCAGAGCTGGAATGCCATCCAGTTTGGAATGGGTTGTCAGTGTGCAGCAACTTAATCTTATATCTGATACTGACAGGGGGGGGAGTCACCAGCTATTCATTATTTGGTTCCGCTATTTTTCAAGCGTTTTTTGCCACAGGCATTGATGGTCAGTGTCAGTCTTGCTTGCAGCCATCCATGCCACATGCAGCCATTGTGGTTATAGCATGGTGGGTTATAGCATGGTGGGTGATATTGGGTTATAGTATGGTGGGCTATGGCATGGTGGGTTATATTGGGTTTTAGCATGGTGGGTTATTTGGGGTTATAGTATGGTGGATTATATTGGGTTATAGCATGGTGGGTTGTATTGGGTTATAGTATGGTGGGTTATAGCATGGTGGGTGATATTGGGTTATAGTATGGTGGGCAATGGCATGGCGTGTTATATTGGGTTATAGCATAGTGTGTTATTTGGGGTTATAGTTTGGTGGGTTATATTGGGTTATAACATGGTGGGTTATTTGGGGTTATGGTATGGTGGGTTATATTGGGTTATAGCATGGTAGGTTATTTGGGGTTATGGTATGGTGGGTCATATTGGATTATAGTATGGTGGGTTGTATTGGGTTATAACATGGTGGTTATATTGGGTTATAGTATTGTGGGTTATATTGTGTTATAGCATGGTGGGTTATATTGGGTAATAGTATGGTGGGTTGTATAGGGTTATAGCATGGTGGGTTATATTGGGGTTATGGTTATATTTAACAGGGGGGGGCTGTTGGATTTGGGGACTTAATTCGAACTTGAGGATCTTGTAGGTGATTTAAACTTTTGATTAACAATCTCACAGTATCTGTCTCTTCGGTATGTACCAGTTGTCAGACCATCCATCAAGATTGGTTTTTTGTTTGTAATGAGATCAAATTCCTTCTTTTACAATGGCATCTTTTGAAGGCAAGGGAGTTAACTGACATGGAGTAAGAAAAGTTCCCAAATGAGTGAGTGAGAATTGTTTTGCGCCGTTTTTAGCAATATTATAGCAATTTCACGGCAGGGGACACCAGAAATGGGCTTCATGTCGGGAATCGAACCCAGGTCTTCGGCGTGACAAGCAAATGCTTTAACCACAAGGCGACCCGACCACCCTGCCTCACCACCCAATCTATTTGGTGGCCTCTTACAACCAGCAGGTTTCTGGAGATCGATTCTAACGAAGCACCCTCTCATGGATCACATGTAGACAAGGATGTTGGTGAAATTCTGAATGTATCTCCCACAAAGGTACAGGAATGAAGGTGTCAGGGCTGAAATGAGTCCAAATTTACTACCCGAGTACCCAACCCCCCATTACCTGACCCTACCCAGGTGGCCACTGTAGATCTCAAGTTGGGTACAAAATGTCTGTTTGGGAATTGTTTTACTGAAGCCCTGGCAAAATCTATTTAGATACACTTATAAAATGATCTGATCATGCATACGCAGAAGTTGACTGAAGCTTTGTCTTTTCTCAAACATCAGAAGTCAGAAGGACTGCGTGCATCGTCAGAAGGATAAGCGACTTGTAATATAACCTTGGAATTGCATTGTATTATGTTTGTTTGTTTGTTTGTTGTTGAACACCGCACTCAGCAATATTCCAGCTATATGACGGCGGTCTGTAAATAATCGAGTCTGGACAAGACAATCCAGTGATTGATATTATCAGCATCAATCAACGCAATTGGGATACAGTGACATGCATCAACCAAGTCAGCGAGCATTGTATAAAACAATATATCACGTGACTAACCATGTGTGCAGGTGGTCCTGTGGATACCCGGGTCCTACTCAGGACCCACCCGACCCAAGTTCCCGAGTAACCCATCCCAGCCCTAAGAGTGTGTCCCTATCAGCGCATTGCCATCTTTCCCTTTGAGCTGTGTGACCTGCTGATTTTTGTGTCTTCGTGCCCAATAATGTGGATTGTGGTTCTTGCTATCAACCACTGGTTTGTAAATGGAATAATGCTGACTGCATTTTAAAGCAATATGGACTGAAAAAAGGCAGCTGCACAGCCCATCATCCCATCCCTTCCCTCTGA